ACACTAATTCAAAGTTTTCACAGTTATAAATAATGCTTAAACATGCAACACATACATGTCTCTGATTAATTCCTTAGAATGAATTCTAAAAGTACAATTTCTGTATGTCGAGGAATGCACATTTTAGGGCATTTAATACATATTGCCAAGCTATTCCACAGGTTTGTACTGATTTATATTCCTACTAGCAGTACATCAAAGTGTCCATTTTCCTGCATCTTACCAACACTGTGTATTTTGTCTTTTTTACTCTTTGCCATTTGAGGGGTAAGAGGAGACAATGTCAAATTATTTTAACTTGTGGTTCTGACCAACAGGAGACTGAATTCTTTCCACATGCTTAGTGTGTGTATGTACTTATATTTATACACATCTGTAATATCTTGTTCACATCCTTTGCTCGTCTCTCCCTTTTGAGTTAATATTTGCCTTTTGGTAACTTTCCTCTTTTGGTCCAAATTGTGCCTTCTGGAACTATCCAAAGTAAGACTAATTCCTCCTTTCTATGACACCCCCTCAAATACTTAAAGACAGAACTCATGTCTCGCTTTCTCCAAGATAAACACCCCCGGCGCCCTCAACCATTTGTCATGTGGCCAGGTTTCAAGGGCAGTCATTAAAGACTTCATGCATCTTAAGGCCTGCTGCCCTGTCACCCCGCACACATGGACACTCACAGGTACAGAACCACACGCGACTCCAGACAAGCCCGCCTGGAGCGTCTTCACAGACTCTCTGGACGCAGTTACCTGCTGCACCTTGGGCCTCAGCCTCCCTGCTCCCGCTCATCCACAAGGATGCTACGAGTCAGACTCAGGATGACCATGGCATTTCTTGCATGATACTGTAGGCCTGGAGCCCAAGTAAAATGGTAAGCAAGAGAGCACTTTGAGGCCCGAAACAGGAAGAGGAATTTGCCCGGAACAATGAGAATGCTTAATTCAAATGAGGAAAGCATTAAGAAGATGGTTGGCTTGGAACGGGGTCCCAGAGGCTGAATTTGGCAGCACCATCCAGCACTGTTACTGGGCCTCCTCCAGCAAGCCTCTCCTGATGCCGGGCAGGTTAGGGACCCCTCCTCTGTCCCCAGGGCTGACTCTCCTGTGGTCATCTGCGTACGTGTTGGTCCTTCACCAACACGCTTTTGTGCTCTCTGAGGGATGAGCCTCTGTCTAGTGCCCTGAGGGTCCTGCTCAACCTCTGGCCCATGTTAGGCTGTCACGCGTGGCCAGTGAACTGAGCCACTGCGGGAAACCTCTCCAGGCTGTCCACACCCCTCTGCTCTTATCTGCCTCTCATCAAACAACCTTCTAATACAAATGCAGCTTCTCAAGTACTTCAGAACCTGCAGGTTTCCTGGACAATGAACTTGAGTATCCATTCCAGTGACAGGAAACCCCAAGGCATTACGGAACTGCACCCGTTAAAACGTCAGCTTCTGAGAACTCATTCACACTCCCTGGGCCCCATCAGTCCTAGAGCTACTGAAGGGACTGCTTCTGGATCTACAAAGCTGAGTCCAGGCTCTGCGCACCGTGAGGGCATCGCCGCCTCATGGGATCCTGTCTTCCGAGTCTAGCTGGGGCCTTTAGGCAAGCAAGACCCCGATGATTTTGTGTATTATGGTTTAAGTAGAAAAAATATGTAAATTAAAAAATATATATATAGACACACACACAGCAAACATTAAAAACAGCCAGCTTCTAAAAAAAAAAACAGCCAGCTCCTAGCAAAATTAACATACAACCTCACACTAAAGGCCTATTTACTTCAGTTCCTATTATCTGGCCATCATATCTGGATTTCGACAAAGATTTACAAGGCATGCTGAAAGGCAAGAAAAAGTACGTCCTAAAGAGTCAAAGCAAGCAGCAGAGCCAGATTCTGATATGACACAGATTTCGAAATTACTAGACAGGGAAGTTAAAATAACTATGATTAATATGTGAAGAGCTCTAATGGAAGAAGTAGACAATAGCAAGCACAGATGGGAAATGCAAGCAGAGAGATGGAAATTCTAAGAGACAATCGAAGGGAAATGCTAGAAATAAAAAAAAATTTTTACAGAAGTGAAGACTGCCTTTGACAGAGTCATCAGCAGACTGGACACGGCTGGGAAAGAGTCAATGAGCTTGAAGACAGGTCAGGTGAAACCTCCAAAACTGAAATGCGAAGAGAACAAAGAAGGAAAAAATCCAGAACAGAATACCCCAAAACCACAGCACAATTTCAAAAGATATAACCTATGTGTAGTTGGAATACCAAAAGGAGAAGAAAGAAAATGGAGCAAAAGAAATATCTGAAAAAATAATGGCAAGGAATTTTTAAAAATTAATGACACCAAACCACAGACCCAGGAAGCTCAGAGAATATCAAGCAGTGTAAACAACCATAAAACAAAACAAAACAAACTACACTGAGGCAACTCATATTCAAACTGCAGAAAAACCAAAGACAAGGAGGAAAACCTTGAAAAAAGTCCCACACTACCTACAGAAGAACATGGATAGGAATTACGTGGGCTTCTCACAAGAAACCATGCAAACAAGGAGAGTGGAGTGAATATTCAAAGTGTTGAAAGAAAATAACCACCAACCTAAAATTCTACATCCAGTGAAGTTATCCTTCAAATGTGAAGGAGAAATAATGATTTTCTATGAAAAAAAAAAAAGGAGGGAATTTGTCACTAGCAGAGCTGTCCTGCAAGAAATGTTAAAAGTTCTTCAGGAAGAAGGAAATGATATAAGTCAGAAACTCAGATCTACATAAAGAAAGGAAGAGAATCAGAGAAGGAATAAATTAAGGTAAAATAAAATATATTAAAATAAATATATATTTTATGTATTTTTATAGATATATAATATACATAAAATATTATAAAATACTTTATTATTCTTAATTGAGCTAAAAAACTTTTGTTTGCTCAAAATAATAATAGCAACAATGTATTGGATGGTGATAGCATATGGATAAGTGCAATGAATGAGAGCAATATTAGAAGAGATGGGAAGGAGGAAGGAAGGCAAACTTAGTTATAAGGTACTCGCACTACATATGAAGTGGTATGACATTATTTGAAAGTGGATTTATGTTAGTTGTAAATGTATATTTCAAACTGAGGGCAAATAATAAAGATATTTTTAAAGAAATATAATTGATATGCTAACAGAAGAGAGAAAAAGAAATCATACAAAATTCTCAGTGAAAACTAGAGAAGGCAGAAAGAGGAGGGAGACAAAAAGAAACAAAGGATAAGTACAATGAACAGAAAACATGCTAGGTATTAATCAAACTATGTCAATAATTACATTAAATGTGAATGGTTTAAATACACCAATTAAAAGACAGAGACTATCGGGGTGGATAAAAACTACACACCCAACTACATGTTGTCCATAAGAAACTCTCTTTAGATATAAAGACACAGTTAGGTTAAAGGGAAAAGGATAGAGAAAGGCATACTATGCTAACACTAACCAAAAGAAAGCCAGAGTAGTCATATTAATTTCAGACAAAGCAGAATTCAGAGCAAGCAAAATTATTAGGGACAAAGAAGGGTATTGATAATGACAAAGGGGTCAACTCTCCAAGACATAAAAACCCTCAAGATGTATGAGCCAAACAACAAAGCATCAACATATGTGAGCAAAAATGGATAAAACTGTAAGGAGAAATAGGCAAATCCACTATTACAGTTAGAGACCTCAACATCCTTCTTTCAGTAATCGATACAGCAAGCAGGTAAATAATAAGCGCACAGTCCTTCAGAGCACTATCCATCAGTTTGACCTAATTGACACCCAGAGAATACTGCCTCCAACAACAGCAGAATACACATCGCTCTCAAGCTGACATGGAACATTCAGTGATACAGACCACTCTCTGGGCCATAAAGTGTACATCAGTGATTTAACACTATATATTCTTTTGTTTAGTAATTGATTTATTGAGATGTAATTCACACACCACAAACTTTGCCTCTTAAAGCGTACAACTCAGTGGTTTTTAGTAGATTTGTAGAGCTGTGCAACTATCACCACTATCGAATTTTAGAACGTTTTTGTCACCTCAAAAACCCATAGCAATTCCATTATAGGGTAACGCCCTGTACCCATTAGCAGTCACCCTTCATTTTTCCCTCCTCTGGTACCGGGAAACCACAAATCGACTTTCCATCTCAATGGATTTGCCTATTCTAGAATTTTTAACCTAAATAAAATGATATAACGTGGCCTTTTGTGTCTGACTTCTTCCACTTGGCATGACGTTTTCAGGGTTCACTCATATTATAACATGAATCAATACTTCATTGCTTTTTACTGCTGAATAATATTTCCTTTTACAGAGATACCATTTTTTATTTATCCATTCATCAGCTGATGTACACATTTGGGGTGTTTCCGCTTTTTGGCCACTATGAATCATGCTGCGATGAACATTCACGTACAAGCTTCTTTGTGGACACGTGCTTTCAATTCTCTGGAGTATATACCTGGGTGTGAAACTGCAGAGTCATATGGTAACTTTATGTTCAACCTCTTGAGGAACTGTCAGCCTGTTTTCCAAAGCAGGTACATAACTGACATCACCACCAGCAATATATGAGGGTCCCCACTGCTCCACATCCTCACCAAGGCTTGCTATTGTCTGTCTATCGTAGCCATCCTGGTGAGAGGAAGAGCTGCCTCCTTGTGGTTTTGATTTGCGTTTCTCTAATGATTTAGAGGCAACTCTCATTTCAAACGTCTCTGACTTTATGGGGTGCTCTGGCTGACCGCTGAAATGGCTTGCTGAGGCTCCATCACCTTTGTAGGATCACTGTTTTTAGAAATCTTTGTCTCAAGGACTTTTTCCAGTGACAAAGATCATTGCATTCTAAGCACAAAGGAAAGTCAGAATATCTTGCCGCCTCTTTCCACAAGGACACACTTCTAACAGGATGCCTCGGTGAGTGAGAACAGCATCCAAACCCTTGGGAATAAACACGCGGGCTATCTTACCTGCGGGAGGCCAAGCTTTGATGTATCCCGTGCAGTGGACCACAGCGTACTGGGCTTCTCCCTCTTTGACAGGGCCAAGGCCATTCCTAAAGAAAGAACATCTGTGAGATGGCTTTCAGCATCCGGGCGTGAGACAAGGATGTCGATGACTACTTTGGCATCTAAGCTACTGGCCTCACGGGTTTGCCTTGTGGTTTTGAATCTTGACTTCTCACCATCCTGTTTTCCCTCCTACACGGTCTGAAAGTCCAAAATAAATTCCACCCAACTCCTTGTTCCCATCTCAGCCACTGCGACCCTGATGGATGGGCCTCCTGGTTCTCTCTACACTTAGGCCCCTCTTGAAGTTCACCTACTCCTTAGCTCAGTGCCTTTAAGCCACCTACCAGCACAGCCCCAGAAACATGCATCAGAAAGGCCCACTGACCTGAACCTTTTCCTCATGGTGGTTATTCTGTTTAGAGGAAGGTGATCCAAAGGAGCATTTCCACACCTAAGATTTGATAAACATATTAGAATGAGTGAAGATCTAGGTAAGTTTATAGAATATATAGGAGCCCGACAGCCAACTTCCTCCCAAAGTACACAAGCAGGCTTGCATGCTTTTGAGGTTTTTTTTTTTTTCTTGCTGAGGAAGATTCGCCCTGAGCTAACATCTGTGGCAATCTTCCTGTAGTTTGTATGCGGGTCACCGCCACAGCATAGCTGCTGATGAGTGGTTTAGGTCCACACCCAGGAACTGAACCTGGACCACTGAAGTGGAGCACACGGGACTTAACCACTAGGGCACGGGGCTGGCCTGCATGCCTTTGAGTTTTGATTGTCACCGAAGGCAAGAGGAATGTGACCCCCTTCGCAATGCACACCGAAACTGCTTTGGCGTCCAGCCCAGAAGCTGGAGGCCTACAGAAGGACTCTAGGAGAAGCCTGGCCATGCTCAGTACTGCAGATAATTTGAGTAACTGGGTGGCTTTAAGGAAACACAGGAAGAAGGTGATGACCCGGGATGAAGGTCTCTTCAGGCCTGAGCAGAGACATCAACTCAAAACAGATGCTGATGAACAGAACCATCTTCTCAGGCTTTAGCTCCCCAGTTGTGGAGACCCCCTCTCCTCTCCTGCAATGTTCTGGCGCTGGAATAACTGGACAGCTGCAGGCCTGCTGATGGCAAAGGACAGAGTGGGGACAGAGGGAGGATGGGCATAGAATCAGGTCTCCCTGTGGGTCCATCTCTGGGAGGCAGCGGATGGGAAGCATCCCACTGTCCAGTCCGGGAGGGCCTTTTCTGCCTCTCTTCTTGATGACCCTTCAGCATCCCAGGCTCTGAGCATGTAACTCTGCCCTGGGGCTATGCTCTGACGGCTGCTCAGCACGCCCACTCTCCACGTGTGCTTCCATCTCCCAGCCATACGACAAGTAATACCCTGCATGTCTTAGCACTCAGTACAGCAAAGATAAGGGTTCAGTTACACTCAGATCTGGGACAGCTGCCAGCCGGCATGTTTGCATAGCAGGGGCAATCCGAGACAGTGCCACCCGGGGAGGCTGGCAGGGCCCTCTGCCCTCTGGCAGCCTGTGCCCAGTGTCTTCCTCAAACTAACCTGCTCTCTTGGAGGAGAAGGTCACAGTGCTTCCACCTCACAGGTAAATCCAGGGAATGTGGGCCCGGCGCTGCGAAAAGCAACCTGGAGCACATCCCCCAGAGGGCCAGCAGGGCAGGGAGGGGACTACCCAAGTGTGGCTCATAGGGCAGTGACAATGGCATTAGAGGCCACCTATCCACAGACATGGTGGCTACGACACTTCCAATAAACTCATTCATAAGGAGCTGCTTAGACTGTGCAATTAAGAACTCACACTGCTGGTGCCACACTGCACGCCCACCAGGCTGGACAGGCATCTACTCTACTGACCAAGGCATGGAGGAAGGACCCTGCAGTGCTGGACTACACTAACCGATGGCATTTTGTCCCTGGGTGGACGCTGATCCACAAGTCCTGCCGCCAGGCCTGCCCCATCAGCAGGACCGAGGGCCGTCAACCTGTGCAGACTCAATTCTAAGGGAGCTGTTCACGTGTTCGGTCACCCTAACACCATCTCGTGACCTGCGGCAGGCGGCCAAGGGCATTCCATCCGTGTCTTCTGGAAGAATTCCAGGTGCTCAGCCTGGAGAGGGGCTGATGCCAGGAAAGGACGGCCACTCTCAGAGTCCAGCTGGAGGGTAGAGGGGTGGGTCCCCCCTCAAGGCAGGCAACCTTGGTGCTCTGAGATGGAGTAAGCTGGTAGATGAGGGAGTCTGTTTGAGATGTACAGTTGCTTTAAAAGATTACTTTGAATTTGTGAAAATATATCCTTATTTTAAAGCATCGGCTGTTTGGAACTTCATGGTACCCAACAGATGCTCAGGCGGCAAGTCACAGTTCCAGGAGCAAAAAACTAGGAAAGTGACATTACTGAGTGGCTCCACTGTGGCCGGCCCCGAGATCAGAGCATCAGCCGTGTCAGGAAGCCTGGCAGGGACGAGAAGGTCAGAGAAAGCAGGAGACATGGGGTTGAATCAGGATCGGTGTGGAATCACGTGGACTCTGTGGGAGAGATGCACAGGAGAGCCCACGGGGCAGGGACGGGCTTCTCTCCCAGAGGAAGAGGAGGGGAGGACCACCCTGCTCACCAGCCCGCAGCTCCAGCCCCTCGGGTTCTCCATCTGAGGTCCAGTGATTGACACTCATCCTTGTGGTCAGGACTCATCAGGAGCATCCGGCCATGGAGCACGCCTTCCTCCTAGAAACTTCCTTCCTCTCTTGTTCCCTGCTATCTGCCCAGCCGCTCCATCTCAGTCCCTCACCTCCCGATGTAGGAGTGGTCCAGGGCTCAGAAGTCTGCCCTCTTCTCGACCTACACCCACTTCCTGAGTCATCTCATGCCATCTCGAGGTTTTACATTCCATCTCATTGACATCAACCCCAAGTCCCTAACTTCAGCCCCAACCTCTCCGTTGAATTCCAGAATTATACATGCAACTGTCTACTCATCCTCTCCATGTAGACATCTGAGGGCATCTCAGTCTTCAAATGCTTGAAATTTCCCTCTAGCCCAAAGCAACTCCTCCAACAATCTTCTTCCCCTTAGTAAACGGCAACTCCACTTCTCCAGCTGGGCAGGCAAACATTTTCGATCTTTGAATTCTTTTTCTCTCATACCCCAAGGAAGGCTGGCTCCATCTTTGAAGTACATTCACCGTCGTGACGTTTCTCACCTGGATTCTTACAACAGCCTCCTTGCTTCTATCCTTGTTCTTCCCCTGCAGGTTTGTTCTCCACACGAAGCCAGAGCGATTTTTTCAAATGTAATTCAGAACATGTTACTCTTAAGACCAAACTCCAATGGCCTCCCATCTCATTCAGAGCAAAAGCTGAAGTCTTAAGGCCAACAGGACCTAGCATCCACTCCTTGACCTCATCTCATCCCACTCCTCCCCCACCGCGCCCCATTCCCTCTGCTCCTGCGAGAGCAGCCTTGTTGCTCCTGGAACGTGGCAACAGCACTCCTCCCTCAGGGCCTTTGCACATACTATTTCCTGGTGTTCTCTTTCCTCAGGTGTCCCAGGTCTCACTCACTTCTTTCAGGTCTCTGCTCAATGCCACCTTCCCTGAACCACCCTAGATCACATGTAAATTAACAACTCCTATGCTTCCTACTCCTTCTTAAATTTGCTTTATTTTCCTCTGTAGCACTTCACCATCATCTGACATTCCATGTATTTACTTGGCCTTTTTGTCTATTGTGTCTTCCCTTAAAATGAAGTTCTACAAGGTCAGTGATTTTGTTCACTCTATTCAAGGTTGAAATCCCAGCACCTGGAAGAGCACCTGGCATAGGCGGACGCTCAATATAAATTTGTTGAATAATGAATGAATGAGAGGCATTGTCTCGGGTTACTGCCTGAGGAATTCCACGCCCCAGACAGAGCTGACTGTGTCGTCCACGTCCTGCCTTGCAGCTCATGCCATCCATTGCTCTAGGACCACGGGCTGAAAGTCCAGGGAAGTCTGACCTGGATTCGAAGATTCAAGATCCTAGTTCTTTCTTTTTGGGGAACACAGCAATCTCCTGATTCCTCCCAGCTTCAGTCACTCTGCAATTCTTCAACAACCATGTGTTAACCAAATGTGTGCAGAACACTGTGCGAGATGTCACGCGAGGCTCAAATAGGTAGAGACCAAAACCCCCAATCTCAGGGCAACTATAACCCACTTATGGAGCCAAGATATTTATGCTTAGAATGTCGATCAACAATAAAATAATTAGAGACTAATTAAAAGTGTATGAGTTGATACAAGGAAATACAAGAGTAAGTATGAAATCGGTAGGTCTCATATAAAATGTGGTGAGAAATAAGAAGCCTGGAGAGGCTGGAGTTGGAAAGAGCCTTGAAGAACAGGTAGAAAGGTGAGACATGGTGGAAAAGGGAGATGGGCACACTGGGAGATGGGCAGGAAATGATGGCGAATCCGACAAGTCGGGACAGAAGGAAGAAGGAGGAGGTTCTTCTGAGACAGACTAAGGAGTCTGGATGTCCACACGTTACAGTCAAGAAGATGGAGTCACTGGAGTGAGTCGGGGTCAGTGTGTGATCCTAGCAGAGCCAGTCAAGGCTCTTAACGGCAGGTGAGAAGGGAGTAAACCAGCCGCGGCCACAGCCCACCGTTTGTCCAAACAGACCTCATCCTGCAGATGAAGGACCTCCGGGAGCCCATGCACATCCTCATGGACGACTGCTGCCCTTCCTTCTTGACCGTCCCCGTCTTCAGGTCCAAGATCCGGCCTAAGAGAGAAAGGACAGCTATGTAAGCCTCTGCCTTTGACCAGGGGGCGCCAGTTGGCAGGGAGCTTTCTCCCAATGCTCTGCAAAGGAGGACAAGTGGGGCTGTGCAAATTGTTTGTTTCTTGGAATTCCCAACATTCTTTGGCAGGAAACACATGGAGTGATGAAATCCACGCAATTCTAAGTGCTTTGTTTTCTTCCAAGAGTGGTCTACACTTGCCGTCTCTGCTTTGTCAGATTCCATCAGCTCAAGTCATTCTGATTTGGCTTTCTCCCCTACTACTTCCTGGAAACGGTGTTTGTCAAGGTCACCAGCAGCTTCCTTATTAAATCCAAAACACACTTTCCTTTGGTCTTACTGACTGCTCTGCTGAACTTGACATGGCTGCATCTGAGCCCTTCTCAAAAACCTCCCGTGCCCTTGGCTTCCGACCGACCCTCTCCGCTCCTCCTGTCTGACCCTTCGTTCCCCAGAGGCTCCCATCTCAGCCATCTTCTCTTCTCATTCTATGCATCCCCTACACGATTTTATCCACTCCAAGGCTGTGATGATCCTCTCCGTATGCTCATGACCCTATATCCACACCTCCAACACCAAACCCTCCATCTCCTTAGCCCCAGACCAAACCACCAACAGCTGACTGTACAGCTCAAAGGTAGCAACACTGGCTGCTCCACAGATGTCAGCAAAGGCATCGCCACCAACACGGAAATCTAAGTCAGGATCCTAGACATCATCTCTGAGTCCTTACTCTCCCTCACCTCCAGCACACTTGGTCTCTGACTCTCCGTCTCCTCTGCCTCCATCATTGCTGCCCATTGGTCATTCCTGATGAGGACACACCAGCTTCCAGCCTCCAGCATCCTTTCTCCTCAGTCTGTCTTGCACACACGGACGGCTGCCTAGATAACACTTACGTGACTGCGCCCCCTTGGCTTAGAGCCGCGTCACTTACAGGAACTCCTTAGAGTTACTCCTTACTCCCTGCCTGCCACACAGCCCCATTTCTTCTACGTTTCCTGTCTCACCCTGTCCAAGAGAAGTAGGATAAAAGCCACCTATGTAATTTTAAATGTTCTAGTAGGCCCATTAAAAAAAGTTAACAGAAACAAGTGAAATTGCTTTTAATAATGTATCCAAAATGCTACCATTTCAACATGTAATCCACATAAAAAATTATGAATGGGATATTTTGCATTCTTTTTCTCATACTAAGTCTTTGAAATCGGTGTGCATTTTACACATGGAGCACATCTCCATTCCCACTGGCCCTGTTTTGGGTGCCCAGTAACCAGCTGTGGTTGGTGGCAGAGCGCAGCCCTGGACCAGCCTCCTCAGACCCCTCGCCGTGCCTGCACCTCCACAAGTGCCCTGTGCCCTCACACATGTGCAGACACGGTCCTTTCCACCAGGAATCCTCCCTCAGGTCCCCGAGAACTGTCATCCCGGTGAACTGCTAACTCATCCTTCAGGACCAGCTCAAAGGTCACAGCCCTGGGAAGTCTTTTCTAGGTTTTCTAGAGCTTCCTGTCTATTTCTTCATTCATTCATTCATCGATTCATTCATTCCATATTTATCAAGGTTCTTGATGTTCCAGGCATCTTGTCAGGCTCTGGGGATGCAAATATGAGCAAGATCATGTCTACCATCGAGTCTGGTGGAGGAAACAGGCATTTACAGCACTTTCCATATTGTATTGTAATGATTTCATTACATGCCTGTTTACCTTGACCTTGAGCTCTGTGCTTCGAAGGAAGGAACCAAGTTGAAAAATGTCATGTCTGAGCAGAGCCGACAGTGCCCGGTTCAGTGCACACGTCAGTGGAATCGAATGTTTTTCACCCATCCGTAACAGCACTTTCCAACAAAGTTGGCATTATAAGTAGCGTGCTGGTATAAAAGGACTTTTACCTCTTTATTTCCTTGTTCCTACATCAAAACACTTAGAAACTCATCTGCGCCCATCGCCCATCTTGCTCTCATCTCAGAAGAAATGCGGAATCTGCAGTGTGTCCTCCCCACCTGGCACGGCTTTGCCCCAGCACCTGGTCCTCCCACCCACTTATTTCTAACTTCTCCCCTCCCTGCTGCCAGCTCCTTCCAGTAGTCTAATGCCATTAAACCTCTTTCATCACAGAAGACAGAAGAAAACAAATAAGCCTCCTCTGGCCCCTAAGTCCCTGTCCTCTCCCCACCTGCAGTCAGAGTTGGGTCCCCACTCGCTGCTCTGGCCGAGGCCACAGGGCCCCTGCTTGTTGCCGAATTTTTTTTTTTCTTCAGAAAGATTAGCCCTGAGCTAACATCTGCCGCCAATCCTCCTCTTTTTGCTGAGGAAGACCGGCCCTGAGCTAACATCCATGCCCATCTTCCTCTACTTTATATGTGGGACGCCTACCACAGCATGGCTTGACAAGCGGCGCCATGTCCACACCCGGGATCCAAACCGGCGAACCCCAGGCCACTGAAGTGGAATGTGCGAACTTAACCGCTGCACCACTGGTTCAGCCCCAGAATTTAATAATCACTGTCCAGTCCCTCCCACCTCGTGCCTGTCCTCGGCCACAGCCTCCTTCTCGGAACGTCCTTACCCTGGACGCTCTTTCTTCTGCCTCTCCTTGGCTGGTTCTCAGCCCTGTGGCGCTCCTCGGTGTTGGCACTCAGGGGCCTGGGCCCCTTGCTCTCTCACCCTCCCCAGGATCCTCAGCAGCTCTTTTGGTTCCACCACTCCCTACGTGCTGATGACACCGAAACGGTCTCCTCCAGCCAGACCTCTCCTGGAAGCTCCTGTGTCCGTCTGTCTCCTGGGCATCTCACAGACACCTTTTGGACCCACAGGTCCAAAACCAAGTCTGATCTCCCGTCCAAACCGTCCAGGGCTGTCCTTTCTCCACAGCTCCCTACCGTGGCCATCGGCAACACCTCTGCTCAGTTGCTCAAGCTACAAACCTAGTAGTTAAGAGCATGAACCTAGCTTTAAATCCTGCCTCCCTCACTTACTGCGTGATCCTGGGCAAGTTACCTACCATCTCTGTGCTTCAGCTTCCTCATCTACAAAATGAGGATAAAGATAGTACTTCCCTCAGACGGTGGTTATGAGGATTAAATGAGTTAATATTAGAAAGTGACTAAAACTGTGCATGGCCCACAGGAAGTGCTCTATAAATGCTTATTAAATAAAGACCATGAAAAAATGATGCCATCCCCTGATCAGGCACTAACGTTCTGTCAGTGCTTCATCCCGGGTGCCTCTGGCCCATGCACTTCTTCTGTCTGCATTGCTGCTACCCTAGATGGTCCTCACGGCTCACCTGGATGGAGGGCTGCACCAGCACATCCATCGCGTCCTTGTCCCTGCCCGCTTCAACCCTCCCTCTGCATCGCTCCTGGAAGAACACTGAGACGATGCCACGGCTCTGTCACTCGCACGAGACCCTCTGCCCTCAGCTTCGCTGGTGCACGGTATTTATTTTTTTTCCTCCCTGCAAAATGCAGGAGTACCATCTTCTCTCAGGATTATTGTGATAAAATATACGTACAAATGATCTGCATCCAAGGGAAGCGCTGAGTGTGTGCTCCTGGCAGACTTAACCGATCATGTCACACTCCTTGAAAACCTTCTGTGCTCCCCACCATTGAGTCCCAACATAACCCAAGTCCTGCGATCCACTATGAATGGTCCACTATGAACGGTCCCCAAGACGTGGCCTCTGAGTTTCACCTGTCGCACCCTCCAGTCCCCCAGCCTTAGCGTGGAAATGCCCTGTCCCGAGGGTGGCTCCCCCCAAATCCACCCCACCCCCCCCTGCTCCAGGCCTCCAGGCAGGTCCCTCTGCCTCAGGAAATTCCCGTCCCTTTGCCTGACTATCTCCTGTTCATCAGCATGACTCACACAAGGGGTCACCTTGCCATCATTTAATCAATGTTCACTAAGCACCAACAATACACGAGGTGCTGATCTGAGCATGCGAAGTCACACAGACAGAAGCCATTCTGTTCTCGAGGGTGACGAGAATGGGATGGGATGGAACGGAGGAGCCAGCAAGGGAGGATGCTGTCAGGTGAAGGAAAGTGCTGTGAACAAGAGTGAGGCACCGTGCAAGGGGGGACGTGCCCCGACACCCGCCCTCTGCAGCGAAGGGTCCACTGCTTTCTATCACTTGGAATCAAAGGGCCTTGAGGAAGACACGCTCCCCAGCTGGACCCAAGCTCGGCTCCCTCTGCTCCAGATGGAGGGGAGGGAGCAGGGTGACGTGTGTGCAGCACGGGGCCACCTCCCTTGTCCACAGGCCTGTGACACCCATGCTTGCCCTGAGCCCCGCTCTCTCAGCACCAGAGCCTGGTACTCAGGGGCTCAGGCTGTGCCCGGGCAGCTCCCCTTCCTGGGCGCCCGTCGCAGCAGCTGAGACACTGTAGCCTCCACTTCCCGGGTGGACCCGGCTTGGCAGGTGCCCATTCCAAATTCCAGCCATCACCATCACGCTCACTTCCGATGCGCACGTCCTGCTGCAGGATGAGTCCACCCAAACCCCACTCCTTGGAGCGGCCAACGCTCAGCCTGCAGAGACCCTGGAGCGGCCCACATGGAAGAGGCCCCCGGCGTCTGCCGGTTCGGTGCCGGCTGCTGTCTCAGGGTTGACAGCTGTCTGTCTCACTCACAGACACCATCTTTTTACGGCCGCTTCAGTGTAAATTGTCACGTACTTTATCATCTACCAAATGGCAAACGGTTTGAGCTGGGAAGCAGGCCAGCACGCGAGTCTGTCAAACTCCAGAGTGTGCTCTGAAGATAAAGCGCGGCTGCATAGCACGAGCCGTGGAACATGAGGCAGCGAGAAGACACATTTGTAGGACCCCGAGGGACGGCTGCTTCAACCTTTAATTCCCTGTGTGCTTCTCCAGTTTCCTCGGGCACAACGGACCCTTTCCAGGCTCCTCTGGATGAAAGCATGCCTAACTTCACACGGTAGGTGTGTTTCTGCAGGGTTGTGTGTAAATGGG